TGACGGGAGTGAATTATCTTGAGATTATTCTGCGCCATAATCATCATACAACCGTGCTTAAGTAATTTGGTCGAATCGAAAATACCTTTCCGAATTTATTATCAGTATATTCGAGGGAGGGGTAGGTGGGTACCGTTGAGTTCCCTATTTGTACATGCGTGTTGTTGCATCAGAAAAATATTATCTCAGTTTGTTGGCGAGACTAAATGACATGGGCCAATGAGGTGGAGCATAGTTAAAAAAAGAGCAGACAGTGAAAAAACTCATTGGCATTTTTTAGGAGAAAAAACTGTCGCCCTTGGGGAAGGGTAAAACGAGGAGAGGTCAAAGTGTGGAAGAAGACGATTTAGAATGACATTTCATATGATAAGGAATCTATTGTACCTTTCCCGGTAGCCACTAATCTCCCGGGCACTGATTAGAATACATTGTTCTTTTCACTCCCCCCCCAACCTTAAGCTACCTGTTTTCACTCTTCTTTAAATCATTTAATGGCTATATACGCGTAGAGGTCTGAAGACACTTCACTGAAAGCCGACGCATGCTTCTCGCTAACTTGTCTCATGAAATTGTGATGGGTGAAAGTAGTAATTCTTTCAACATTTCTTTACTGTTTCACTTTCTTTCCTGGTCGTTCATTATTACGGGGAATTCTTGATAAGAAATCTACTATACCTCTGTGGATGTCGGCCTCTGCGTAGTATAGCCTGACGCCTCGGCCCCATTGCCGATTAGTTCATCTTAAAGCCACTCGTTTCTCTTTGGCATTAATCTTGTCAAATTAAACAACTCATTTCTCAAACCGGAGCATGTAAACCACTCACTCACTTTCTGTCTTCCTCTCTCTGTACTTTGCAGTCTCTGACGGGGGAGGAGGAGGAGAGACGCGAAGGAGGTGGTGGCGGACAGGCGACATTGCTGCAGAACAGGCCGTGGGAGCAGGAGTACGAGAGTCGACAGGACATTCATTACACCGTCAACATCAACGAAACCGGCTTTGAGGGCGGTTACCTCTGTGTGGCCTCAGTTGCGGGCATGGAGGCAGCTCGGTGGAGTTATATGCACCTGCGTGTCCTCGACTGCGGTACCGGTAAGACCCGGAAGACTTTCGTACACAAATAGGGCCGAAATATAGGGCACATTAGGCTGAATAGTTGAGCTAGGGACTCATAACCGCTCAGTGAGCAATCATCCCGAGTTCGAATCCGAGGCCATCCAAACCTTAAGGTGGGTATGGCTAGCTATCATTCTCCATATGTCCCTATAAGGGGTCAGGCTGTAGATGTGTTGGAACAACATGGGGGGAGGGCAGATCAGGGAAAGGCAGGCGTTATTATGGATGCCAAGAGAAAGTGCTGCCAAGCTAAGGTGCGGGTTTCCGCCGCGTCAGCCACCTGCGTCCTTCCCCGTCCCTTGTCTTCTTAAATTGGTCGTGACACCAGGCCCAGGTGGGAGGGAGGCGGAAAGGGTATGGTAGATGCCGTGCAAGTCTACTGTTAATTAGTTAATTAATTAACGCGCAAGTCACCGTCCCTCCGCCCATCATGCCGTAAAGCAGACAGTAGACATCTTCGGCAACGACAATTGAACTGTCAGCAGTCTCCCTTGCTTTTGTCAACTTGAATACCGATTACTTGGTGAAGGTCTGTGAGGAAAGTAACCCTCTGCATGTTAACTACTACATTCATCCAATGAAATGCGCCAAGTTGTTTTATTTTATTACTTATTATTCAGATGCATTTAATTAATTAATTAATTTTATTTATCTTTTCAAGTTAAATACAGGAATATTTGCAGAACTTACCTTTTATTAAGATTTGCTTTTTTGGTTTAACATACTCGTTTTCGTTACAGTATGTAAGCCAAGGACAATACTGTTGGCAGAAATTTATTTGCTTGTTATATCTTCTTGCACATATATCGCTGCTTGTCCGCGTTAAGGCTCCACCCATAAAAACGCCTATTACCATAATCCCCATTGTACACGATCCCGGAGTTAGTGGTGGTTAAGAAGGCATACATGGCCTACGGTTGCCTAATTAACGTTGGACGCGACTATAAAATTGTACTGGTGATAATTTGGCGGTGAATGTCCGTAGGAATAACTACAAACTAGGT